TTCATTTTCACAGCACATAGTGAGGAAACTGAGACCTATGTGAGAAAGACCTGCCTCAGGTCCAGAGTGTTAGTGACAGAATGGGGCCCACAACTCACGTGGCCTGACTCTCTTTTTTTTTTTGGCTGCGTTGGGTCTTCATTGCTGTGTGTGGGCGTTCTCTAGTTGCGGAGAGCGGGGGCTCCTCTTCGTTGAGGTGCACGGGCTTCTCATTGCGGTGGCTTCTCTTGTTGTGGAGTACCGGCTTTAGGCTCATGGGCTTCAGTAGTTGTGGCACGTGGGCTCAGTAGTTGTGGCTCATGGACTTAATTGCTCCACGGCATGTGGGATCTTCCTGGACCAGGGCTCGAACCCATGTCCCCTGCATCTGCAGGCTGATTCTTAACCACTGCGCCACCAGGGAAGTCAGGCCTGACTCTTTTCAATACCAGCCTCTCAGACATCAGAGTCCAAGATGGGCTTATTTTTTAAAATCCAAAAGGGAAAACAGCCTAAATTTGTCCTCCATTTTTTAGTTGACTCTTCCCATTTTAGGATCAGTCTTCCCTCTGGCCGTGAAGCTCACTGTGCCCCCTCCCTGTTCCTGCATACCAGATGCTGCAGATCCAAAGAGGTGCGGAGGACCAGCATCCCCACGGTCCCCCACCCTGCGGCTGCTGACCAGCGAGAGGCAGGAACGAGGATGACACTGCATCAGTGCTTTGAGAACCTGATCAAGTCCCAGCTTAGCCACTTCTTATCTGAGTGACCTTGAGCAAGTCACCAGACCTCTCAGAGTCACTGTCATCAGTTGTCAAACTAGGATAACTTCACGTACCTCATGAGATTGCTGTAAGGATTAGAGGTTCATACGCGCAAAGAACCTGCAGCACAGAAGTTGTGCAGCAAGGAAGAGTTCATATCAGTATTATTATTTTAACTCCAGCTGGTTTTAGATAAGATCTGAAGTTCTTTTCCATACACAACGTGCGTTAGGCTCTCTGCACACCCACACCAAGGCCAAGCAGTGCTGCCCTTCCACATACATTCCTCAGTGAGCTCTGCTCTCCGTTGTAATGTGAAACTCCTTCCACCTGTAGGCAGATATTCTGATGGAGGATCCCATAAACACGGTGTGATCAGCTTG